GAAATTGTGGATGATTTTTAGCTGTCATGTGGGTGCTAGGAATGGAACCTGGGTCCTCTACAAGAGCAGGCAGTGCTCTTAACTGCTGAACCATCTCTCCAGCCCCCTATTTGCTGATATTTAAAACAAAATATTATATTTATTGTTATCACTTTGAGAAGAACTTTGATAAATATTTACTTAAAATTTGATCTTATTAGCTAGGCGTGGTGGTGCACTTGGGAGGCAGAGGCAGGTGGATCTCTGTGAGATGCAGGCCAGCCTGGTCTACATAGTGAGTTCTAGTCCAGCTGTGGCTACAAGGAGATCCTGTCTCAAAAAGACAAAAAGGGTTTTTTTGTTTGTTTGTTTGTTTTAATTTCTAAAAAATTTACCATCTATGCACACCTCTAATCTTTTAAATCACTTTTTTTTTTTTTTGGTCTTTTTGAGACAGGATCTCACTGTAGCCCCAGATGGTGTAAAATCATCTCTAATTTACTTATAATGGCAACTATTACAATGTAAATGCTATATAGATGTTCTTAAACTGTATTAAGAAATATCGACAAAAAGGTCTGCACACGTTCAGTACAAATACAGATCATTAGAAGTCTGTCGAGTACACAATAAGACCCCAAAGTAAATACTACTGAGATGAGAGCTGGAGAAAGACTGAGATCTGAGAAATGACAGGAGGCTGCAGCAGGATATCCTAAATATCACTTCCTTTATGTGGATTCACTATAGTGGTTGGTGCATAGCTAATTGAAATTTCCCTTTTTCGAATTTTCTGGATTTTTTCCAAATATTTTCAGTTCATGGTTGAATATACAGAGGTGGAAATCACAGATTAATAGAACCAATTCTATAGGGTTCAGTGCTATCAGAGGTTTTAGGCTTCCACTAAGCATCTTGCAGTGTATCCCCCATCAACAGGGAGGTCTATATTTAGTAGTTATTTCATTTTGGTTTATTTATATTTTATTTATTGTGTACGAGGGGTGGAGTGGGGGGAGGATTGTGCTCAGGCAGGTATGTGGAGGTAGGAGTAGGTTTTCTCCTTTCACCACATAGGTCCTGGGGATTAAACTTGGGTCATCAGGCTTGGTGACAAGTGCGTTTACCTACTGAGCCATTTTGCCAGTCTTGTGTTTGATAGTTTTTTTAATTTTATGTGTATGAGTGTATTGCCTGCATGTATGTGAGTGGACCCGTGTCCTACAATGCTGTGGAGGTCAGAAGAGGGCTTCGGATTCCCCTGGAACTGGAGTTAAGGACAGTTCGTAGCCGCCATGTGGGTGCTGGGAATTGAACCCGAGTCCTCTGCAAGAACAGTCAGTGCTCTTAACTGCTGAGCCATCTCTCCAGCCCCCACGTTTGATACTTTTAATAAAAGAAGATGATCTGTAAACACTTAAAAAATGTTTATCTTTTGTTTTAAAAAATTATTTAGTTGTGTATGTGCTTAATTATCTTGAAAATAAAGTTTCTTTTTTGAGTTTAACAAATTCTGAAATTTTTAAAAATTAAAGTACAATTTTGCAACAGAATCAACCAGGTTAAAAATATACCATTCAGTACTTTCATGATACTGTGCAGCTATTATTTCTATATAGTTCCAAAGCATTTTTATCACCGCTCAAGGGAAATCCTGTATCTAGGAAGCAATCACACCCTTTTCCCTCTTTCCCCATGGTAGCCTAGCAACTACTCATCTGCTCTCCGTCTCTAAGGATTTGCCTGTTCTTGATATTTCATATCACTGGAATTATAAAATACGTGACCTTTCGTATATCATCTGTGTAGCTAGTCTACATTTTGTTTATTGATCTATGAGTGCATGAACATTTGCATTCCTCTTTGTAGCTGTTGTACATAGTGATGCTGTGAACATTTGTGTAAGTTTGTGTTTGAATGCCTATTTTCAGTTCTTTTGTCTATGTGCCTAGGATTAGAACTTCTGAGTTTTATGAAACTCCTGATGGCTTTTTGAGCACCTACCAAATTGCTTACTACATCTATATTATTTTATATTCTCGCCAACAGTGAAGAAGAGTATAGTTTCTCCATATCCCTAACACTTTTTTTTTTGCTTTTTGTTTCCTTCTTCATTTTTTATTGAAAAAAATTATAGCCATGTTAGTATCTTAGTATAACAATATGAGGTAGGTAATAAGATGTAATAAGTTTTGTTGTTTGGTTGCTTGCTTTTTTGTTTGTTTGTTTTTTTGTTTTTTTATTTGTTTTTTTTTTTTTTTTTTCCTGTGGTACTAGGGCCTTCCGCATGCTAGGCAAGCACTCCTACATCTTACTGAGTTATATCCCCAGCTGAAGATTAGTCTTTTGTCTGTAAATTACTATATATGTTGAAAGTATTAAGTACAATTATCAGTATGTGAAAGTCTATTAGTAATTGTCCTGAAGTTTAGGAGTATTTCAGTGCTTCAACAGATTCTTCTGTAGAAATACTGGTTTTGACATTTTATTATGCAGCTGTGCATAATTTGAGATAAATTCATGTAGACCAGGAATACCCATTTGAGGAACACTGCACAGGGCCTTCTTACTTTTCCCTACCAAGTTTTAATTTGAATACATGTAATTATACTGTCCTGAGTAGGAAGATATTAATGTACAGTATGTTTTATTTGGATTGAATATAAAGAATGATTAAGTAAGGATTTCTACAGCTGTCAAGCCCTGCCACTGGTCAAACACTACCTGCAAAACCTATAGCAAAAGAACAACAGCTATTTCATAGGGGAAACCCATCTTACTTTAGACTGCTTTATTTATAAGCCATAGTTTTTCTTTTTTGTTTGGTTTTTTATTTTGAGGGGTTTTATTATTATTTATTTTTTATGTTTATGAGTGTATTTCTTGTGATGCAATGCCACAGTGGTCAGAAGAGGGTTGGATCCCCTGGAACTGGAGTTATGTTTTAGCCGCCATGTGGGTGCTGGGAATCAAACCCCGATTATCTGCAGGAGCAACCAGTGCTCTTAACCTCTGAGCTGCCTTTCCAGCATCCCTCCCCCTTGTAGAGGCAGGCAGGGTCTCCCTGTAGCCCCAGCTGGTCTGGAACTCACCATGTAGACCAGGCTGGCCTCATCTCACAGAGACCCACTTGCATCTGCCTTCTGAGTACTGGAATTAAAGGCATGCACCACCATGCCTGGCATCAGCCATAGTTTCATATCTTGTAAAAACTGCTGTCTTGAATATAGACTCAGTTTGAATCCAGTTACTCTTCCTAGCTACTCAGAACATGGAAACAAATAGAGCCTCTTTGTCTGCAAATAGCACTTTCTTTGCTTCTACTCATCACAATTCAGAGTTGTTGTATCCTTATTGTTCTACCTGCTCTCTTTTAGATGCATTTTAGTTTGTGGACATTCATCCTAAAGGGTATTTGATAATAGAAAAGATCTGATCCACGTGATAGAACCATCACCTAAAATGTTTCCATGTTCATTATGTCCCTGTACTTTAGATACCTGTGTTCCAATTTTACAGCTTGGGTTCAGGTGGGAGGAATTTTTCTCATGGTCATGTTAGTAAATAGAGGAACTGAGCTTCAAGTTCATTTCAGATTACCTGCCTACAAAAATGTTCTTTTTATTAATATTAATGATATCAATACTGATGAACTTAATTACCATTGATTGTTTAAAGAATATGTTTTATACTTTACTAAGCACTTAGACTCCCATCTAAGGAAATGAGACAAACAAAAGTTAAGTAATTTGTTGAGTGGTTTAGAGACATAATTGAATACCAAAATGAGCCTGGTGGCACATACCTTTAATCCCAGAACTCAGGAGGCAGAGGCAGATGGATCTCTGTGAGTTTGAGGCCAACCTGATTTACATAGTGAGTCACAGACTAGCCAGGCTACATAGTAAGACCTTGCTTCCAAAAATTAAATGATAGATAGATGGGTGGGTGGATGGATGGATGGATGGATGGATGGATGGATGGATGGATGGATGGATAGATAGATAGATAGATAGATAGATAGATAGATAGATAGATAGATAGATAGATAGCAGCTGGAGAGATGGTTCAGTGGTTAAGAACACTGGCTGCATTTGCAGAGAACTGGGGTTTGATTGCCAGCACCACATGGTGGCTAACAACCATCCATAACTCCAGTCCAGGAAAATCACATATCCTCTTCAGACCTCCATGGGCATTGCACAATACAGGTACACTTACATACATGCAGGCATACATTCATACACATAAAATTAAAAAAATAATAAAATATTTTTTAAAAAAGAATCTGGACATGGTGGTTCACTGATTTAGTTCTGGCACTTGGGAGGCAGAGGCAAGAGGATTACCATGAATTCAAGTTCAGCCTGGGCTACAGAACAAGACCCTCATTGTTTAAAAAGGAAAGAAGCTAGGTGTGGCATACACCCTTAAAACAAGTGCTCAGGAAACAGGAAGCAGAGGCAGGTGGATCTCTGTGAGATCAAGGACAGCCTAGTCTGTATAGTGAGTTCCAGGTTAGCTGGGGATTCAGGGAGACCTTGTTGGAGGGAGGGAGGAAGGAAGAAAATTAAATATACTGTCTTGTTCTATGATATAATTGATGTATTTTTAAAAATCATTTATTTTTAATTAAATGTATATGTGTATGTCTGTTTGTGCGTATTTGCACATGTGAATGCAAGTACCCAAAGAGGCCAGAGAAGATCTGATGTGTTATGAACCAAATTCAGGTCCTGAGGAAGAGCAGAGTATATGCACATGCACTCTCAACTGTTGAGTCATCTCCTCAGCCCCTGGTTGATATTTTAATAATTAGGAACGTACCTGACAAGTGTTTTAAGTCTATATAAGATAATCTGTATGATTAAAATATATGATCTACAGTTACCACAAATTTACTAATTTTTTTCTAATTTCTTTTCATGTAAAAAATATTACTGATTTGATTATATGTTAATGCAGCCTTTCCAGCAGTATTCTGTCAGTAGTTAACAAAGTGCTTTTCTGTTTTCTTTTAGGTCCACCTCATTCATTTAACCGAGATGAGACAATAATCATTGCTTTGGCATCAGTCTCTGTTTTAGCTGTTTTGATAGTTGCCTTATGTTTTGGATACAGAATGTTGACAGGTAAACGAACAAAAATCCTACTTTCTGTTCCATCATTTAGTGAACATGAGGGGTTTAATCAAGAATTTTTTTCCTTAAAATTTTTTTTAAACATTTGTTTTTGTTGAGGGGAGGTAGGGGCTAGAGTGTTTCTGTATATGGAGGTCAGAGGACATATTGCAGGAATCAGTTCTCCTCTTCCACTGTGTAGGTTCTAGGGACTGAACTCAAGTCATCAGGCTTTGGCAGGAAGCACCTTTACATACTAAGCCCTATTTCTTCTTTTTAAAATCTCTATGGAAAATGTTTATACAAAGAAAAACCCTGTGCTACAGTAGCTTCCATCTTTGCCTTCAACAAACATTTTCTTCCAGGTTTTTTGTTTATTGTTTTGTCTTGAAACAAGGGTTCCCAGGTGGTCTAGGACTCACTATGTAGTCCAAAAGTTTTTGTTTTTAAATTTTATTTGTATTTATATGTATGTGTGTGTGTCTGTGTATGTCACGGGTGTGGGTGCTCACAGAGATCCCTTGGAACTGGAGTTGTATCTGGATGTAAGCTGCCTGATGTGAGTGCTGGGAACCAAACTCAGACCTTCTAGGAAAGTGGTGAGCTCTCTTAAGTACTGAACCATCTCTACAATCCTAAAAAATTTTTAATTTATCTAACATATCTGCCACCCAGCTCTAACAGTTATACATATAGGAGCTCTTACTTACATCTAAATCCCCACTCAGTACCCCCTTTCTTACCATTAAATTATTTTGAATCAAAACACAGCTACCACAGATCTATACATTCTTTAGTATTGTGTCTGTAATACAATGATTTAAAAACTGTATAACTGGGGACTAGAGAGATGGCTCAGTGCTTAAGAGAACTGGCTGCTCTGTCAGAGGACCTGGGTTCAATTCTCAGCACTCACATGAACTATCTGTAACTCCAGTTCCAGGGGATCCAATGCCTTCTTCTGATCTCTGTGGGTATTGCATGACACAGGTATGCTTATCATAAATGCAGACAATACACTCATACACATAAAACAAAAACAATAAATAAAATATTAAAAAACTGTATAATGATAATGCCGTTTTTTATATATGAAGAACTGACCACTAAGTGTCTACTCAGCTCTGATAAACTTTAGATTTGATAGGTTGTTTAGGAAATCAACATCCATTTGTTCATTTTAATAATTCTGATAAAATCTTGAAAGTTTTTGATATTTCTTAGGATCTTAAACTTTTAAACTAAATCATCATGGAAGTGTCTCACAGAATTCAGCTTTTATGCTGTTCATTATTCATCTTCACTGATCTGTGATCCCTAGTTTTAGTAAGCTGTATCAACCTCTCTGTAGCTCTTCTTTCTAACTCTAATAGTCAAAATGTCATAGCTTCATTTTAAGATAGTTGCATATTAACAAGTTCTTTTTCTTGTATCTATAGGAGACCGTAAGCAAGGTCTTCACAGTATGAACATGATGGAGGCCGCAACGTCAGAGCCCTCTCTTGACCTAGATAATCTGAAGCTGTTGGAGGTACGGTTGTTTTTAGATTTTTGACTATTATAACTATTACCAGGTTTCCTAATTAGTGCTACGTTTCATTTGATAACATCTCAGAAACCATTTTAAAAGTCTTGCTGGGCATGGTGGTTCACACCTCTAATTCTAGCACTCAGGAAGCAGAGGTAAGAAGAGTGCCTCAAATTTAAGCCTAACCTGGTCTACATAGCAAGTTCTAGGCCAGCCAGGGCTACATAGCTAGACCCTGTCTCAAAAAAATGAAATGAGCCAGGTGTGGTGGCACACTCCTTTAATCCCAGCACTTGGGAGACAGGGGTAGGCGGATCTCTGTGAGCTCAAGGCCAGCCTGGTCTACATAGTAAGTTCCAGGGAGACCCTGTCTCAAAAACGCACAAAAAAGAAATGAAACAAAATGAAAAGAAAGAAGGGAAGAGGAGAGGAAAGGGAAAGAAAGGAAAAAATAGAAAAACGTAGTGCTGTGATGAGTAATTTTATGATCTGTGTTAGGAATGACTTGTTGACTATGATCGTCAAACTACAGACTATTGAGTAATAGATGTGAGGGATTTTACTGTATAGAATATTTTCAGAACTTTCTGTTTGGCAAGAGAAATACAGTAAACAAAGTTAAAAGGCAAAATTTGAAATAAAATTCAATATAAAAGAGGAAAATTTATAAATAGCTGATATAAAGCAATGTAAAAGAAGTAGTGAATAAAGATGGACAAACTGGATGAACCTCCAATTTACAAAATGTGTAAGTGTGGCTAATAAATGTACATGAAGACATGCTGTTTACCACCCTGAGAAGTATCACCTAAAACATAGATGATTTACCTATGATTTGATTTAACTGTTTTAATACAACCTTTTTAGAGGTTAGCCTGTTTGTATGTGAGATATTACCTAGAAGTAGTAATATACAGCAAACATCCATAAAGAAATGGTGATAAATCCAAACCATTTAAATAAATAAATTCCCCAGAAGCCAAAAATGAAGAGATTTACATTTTTGGCGGGTTTTTTTTTTTTTTTTGTCTCTTTGAGACAGGGTCTCCCTGTAGCCCCAGCTGGCCTGGAACTCACTTTGTAGACCAGGGTGGCATCGAACTCACAGAGCTCCGCCTGCCTCTGCCTCCCGAGTGCTGGGATTACAGGCATGCACCACCATGCCAGGAGCCATTTTTTGGTTCTTTATATATTGAGGAAATTTTTATTATATCCTAGATGTTGTGAATACTGTAGTGTGGAGACCCAAAGCTCTTGTTATGTTCTGTGTGCTGATTTTTGTTGTTCACTTTACTAAGAAGTTAACTTGATTGACCACATAAACATCTCTTTGGTTAAAGCTCAGATCTCAGTTCAGTTATTTTCCTTTGCTAGAATCTGCCCCATGTATTCGTTGAATTTTCCATGTCTGACTTTTTCCTTTTGAAGACTACCCCCCGCCCTTTACTTTCTAGCAGCTCTCACTGCCTCAGATTATATCCTCAGATTCACAGGGCCAGAAAAGCCCTCTCTAACCATTAAGCTTCACTCCTCAAAGCTGATATCAGCCTGCCTTCAAGCTAAAAGCCATAAAAGTTGGTAGCTCACTTTATGCCATTCCTTTCTTCTAAGCCTTGATAGCTCTTAGAATATATCTGCTTTTGCTTATTCTTCAACGTGTATAGATCAATTGTCTTTAATTTTGTCCTGAGTGTGTAGTTCTTATCTCTAAGAAGAAGGTCAGGTAAGAGCTTCCTCAGTCATAACAGACTTCAGTCGAGTCTTCATAATGGAATAAACTGAAAGCAATAGAGAACTGCAGTATATCGTAGGGAATTGCATTTTATTCAGTAAATTTGATCGTTCAATATTAATATGAATTAATACCTTGTCTTTTTAAAAACAAACTTACAGCTGATTGGACGGGGTCGATATGGAGCAGTATATAAAGGTTCCTTGGATGAGCGTCCAGTTGCTGTAAAAGTATTTTCTTTTGCAAATCGTCAGAATTTTATAAATGAAAAAAACATTTACAGAGTGCCTTTGATGGAACACGACAACATTGCTCGCTTTATAGTTGGAGATGAGAGACTAACTGCAGATGGACGTATGGAGTATTTACTTGTGATGGAATATTATCCCAATGTAAGTTCTTCATAAAAGGAAGTGTCATTTGCAATATCTATCAATGAGATTTTCAGGCCACTGTAATACAGAGCATTGCTGATTTGCAAAATGGTTATTATTGTTCTACAGTGAAATAAGGATCTCATGCTAGAATTTGAGTTAAATGCATTACTGGGCTGTTATACTAAGACCATGTCTTTAAAAAAAACAAAAAATACAGCCAGGCATGGTGGCACACGCAATCAGGAGGCAGAGACAGGCGGATCTCTGTGAGTTCAAGGCCAGTCTGGTCTCCATTAGGGAATCCAGGCCAACTGGCTACTGGGAGACCTTGTCTCAAAAAGACCAAAACAAAACGAAAAAAACCCACAAATAACTGTATTTATTCAGCTTTCTTCTTTCTTTTCTTCTCTCTTTCTTCTCCCTCCTTCACTTCCTTATCTTTCTCCTCCTTCTCTTTCATTTTCTCTCTGTTTCTTTAGCTAATATTTTTCACTGGACATACCAGTACTTTGATTGGTATTCATTCTAGAAGCTGATAGTAGTTTGTAGATGCATCCCTCAGTATCCTCAGGCAGTTGCTTCTAGGACACCTTCCAACCAAACACAAGAAAATACTCAAGTTGGCTGCTATTCAGTTCCCTTGTATAAAATGCCCATTTGCATTTGCATATAATCCATGCACATCGTCTCTTGATTATACAGTATAAATGTCATATTAATAGTTGTACTGTGTTATTTATGGAGCAGTGACAAGAAAAAATAGTGTGCTAAGTACAGATGCAAAGATTTTTTTTGTTACTTGTGTGTTTTTCTTGTCTCTGTTGAAGATGAAACCCAGGCTTGTATATTCTAGACAAGTGATTTTTCCTTAAGCTAAATCCCCAGCCACTGAATCTACTCTTTTTTTAATCTAGTTAATTGAATCCTAGGATATAAAACCTGCAGGTATAGAGGACTGACTATATAGACTTATGAAACCCTTCTGTGTTCTACTTAAAAGCCGTAACAGTAGACGTTGTGACTTTGTTAAAGATATATTTTCCAAGCTAATCTGATAGACCAAAGAAGCTTTTAAATGGAAATAACCATTTATAATTTTAATATTTGAAACATAAAAATTTATATTTAAATTCTTTGTTTTTACCCTTTCCTCTCTTCTCTTCAGTAATACCTTGTAACACTTTCAAGATTCTGTCATACAATAGTTCATTTAGATTGTCATAGAACCCTAGTCTGTGCAAATCCTTCATAAGATTGTTTAACTTATCTCTTCCTGTTTCCACAAATTAATTTCACTCTTTTGGTATACTTTTTTCTTTCTATAGGGATCCCTATGCAAGTATTTGAGTCTCCATACAAGTGACTGGGTAAGCTCTTGCCGTCTGGCTCATTCTGTGACTAGAGGCCTGGCCTATCTTCATACTGAATTACCACGAGGAGGTAAGAATACTAATATGTTTGTTCAAAATTTACTAAGAGGACTTTTATTCATATCTTCAAAGTAAACTGTAATTTATATTGTTAAGCGATTGAATATTAACCAGTTGTTTGAAAGATCCAGCATGAGCAAACATATTTGAATGCAATGGGAAGAGTAAGAAAAAGGACTTCAAGAGGCTGGAGAGATGTCTCAGTGATTAAAAGCACCAGCTGCTCTTGGAGAAGACCTGTGTATTAGTCACTTTTCTGTTGCTGTGATAGAAACACTGACCCAAGCAATTTATAGAAGGAAGAGTTTATTTGAGCTTATGGTTCCAGGGGAATTGCAGTCCGTCATGGTAGGGAGGCATGGTGGCTGGAGGTGGCTAGAGCAGGAGCAGGAGAAGAGAAGCTCTCACATCATCACCAGGCACAGGAAGCAAGAGAGCGACTTGAGATCTGGCAAGGCTTAAGAACTCTCTAAGCCCACCCCCAGTGTTATGCTTCCTACAGGATAGCCACACCTTCTAAAACCTCCCAAAACAGCGCCATCATCTGGAGACAGAATATCCAAATAAATACTTGGAGCCTATGGGGGACATTTTCATTCAAACCATCATAACCTGGGTTCAGTTCACACGTGGTGGCTAAACCTTACATAACTCCAGTTCCAGGGGATCCAACACCCTCTTCTGACCTCTTCCGGCATTACATGACATAGGTGCACCTAAATACATGCAGGTAATACACTCATACACATAAAATAAAATAAATAATAAATAATTTTTTTTAAAAAGAAAAAGAACTTCAAGACTTTAGAGGATCTCCTAATGGATCTCATTAAACATTGAAGACTTTCCCTTCAAAAATATACATGTAGCTATCCTTTATTTTTTTTAGATTTTATTTATTTTTATGTGTATGAATATTTTACTTGCATTATGTAAGTGCATAGAAGCCAGAAGACAGCGTCAGATCCTTTTGAACTGGAGTTAAAGATGTATGTTAGCCACCATGTGAATGCTGGGAACTGAATCCTAATCTTCTGGAAGATGAGTACATTCTCTTAACTGCTGAGCTATCTCTTCAGCCCTACATGCAGCTATTCTTAGAAATGTTCTTTAGGGCTGCAGTATATCTCAGTGATAGAATGCTTCCTTAGCATGTATAAGGCCCTGGGTTTGATCTCTAATATCACAAGACCAGACAAAAAGTGTATAGTTTTTTCTTTTCCAGACCTCTTGAAGTCTGTTCATGAACCTTAGGGTAAGAATCTCTTAGCTAAGCTGTATTTTCCTTGTATTTATTTTGTTTGTGTAAATAAACTACGATGTATAATTCTTTAGCTTTAATATTATATGGACTTTGGAGCTTGCAGAGGACCCAGGCTCTATTCCCAGCACCCACATGGTGGCTAACAACGTCTATAACTCCAGTTCCAGGCGAATATGACACTCTCTTTTGACCTCCTCAGACATTGCATGATACGGATGCACTTACAAAATACAGGCAATACACTCATACACATAAAATGAAAATAAATAATTAAAATATTTTTAAGAGAAATTGCTAAAAAAAAGATATGGATCTTTATTCTATACATTGGTTTTGATATAATATGAAAGCATCTTTTTGTAAATCAATGCTTTTATTAGCTAGAATTAGATTTAGCCAAATTGGGGAGGGGCAGATAACAGTGACTTTATTAAGAAAGAAATTCTTTGGGGCTGGAGAGATGGCTCAGTGGTTTAGCAGACTTTTATAATTAATATAAGCCTTTCAGGCTGTCTTGTTCCAACCATCAGTCTGTTATTTTTGTTAATAAATAATAGTGATAACAAGGGCTAGAGAGATGGTTCAGCGGTTAAGAGCACTGACTACTCTTGAAGAGGACCAGGGGTTGATTCCCAACACCCACATGGCAGCTACGAACCGTCCTTAACTCCAGTTCCAGGGGAATCTGAAGCCCTCTTCTGACCTCCGCGGCATTGCACGAGACAGGTGCACTCACTTACATGCAGGCAATACACTCATACACATAAAATAAAAATAATAAATAAAATATATGAAAAAAGAAAGAAATTAGCTGGGGCTACAGGGAGACCCTGTCTCAAAAAGACCAAAAAGAAAAAAAAGAAAAAAGAAAGGAATTCTTTTCTTTCTCATATATATAAGAAGAATCTAAGAGAGACAGGCGAGATGGCACATACTTTATAATCCCCAAACTCAGGAGACTAAGGCAGGAGGATCATGAGATTAAGGCCATTTGAGGATTTATAGTGAGTTCCAAGCCACCTTAGGCTACATACTGAGGTCCTAATAGAAAACTAAGGGTATAGGACAGTGGTAGAGCTCTTGAGTAGCATATATAAGGTCCTGGAGTCAGTCCCCAGCACCAAGCAAAACAACAAACAACAAAAAAATGAACCTAAAAGGGGAGACTGGGACTGTGTTGGCAGCACTGTAATATTATTAGACTCAAGAATATTTCTTCTCCACCATCCTTTACATGTGGCTTTGATTTTCAAATTTACCCCTTTGTCTTTTGTGCTGTGTTATAAGTACTATAAGTAGCAGGAAGAAAAGGAAGAAGAGGAAAGGATTGTCCTCTTCTACCTCCAGAAGTCCCTCTCTTGTCTATGTTTTGTTTCCCAGAACTAGTTCACACATACTGGGAATATAGATTTTGTTTTGCCTTGTTTTTGTTTTTTTCTGAGTGAATTGCTGTTCAGATAATGTTGCATTCTGTCATTAAGTAGGAATGGGAGGGAGTTTGCCAGTGTTTCAGAACTGTCTTCTATTCCCTGTTATAACTGCAGTCTTCAGCTTCCATGCACAGTCTTGCTAGTTACACAAAGTATCTCTTAAATACATTTGCTTTCTCACTTTCTTTCACCATATACTTATATCACAGGCACCCCTAAATTAGCTTGGCTGTGAAAATTCTGTCTCTGTGCTTTCTCAAGTTTTCATCCCTTCTGTACCACATTTTCTTGTCTTGTGACCTGTCGATGCAGTCTCCCTGACCTCTTTGTGAAAAGAACTTTAGTGTATCCATTTACTAGATTGTTGTCCATTATATAATAGCATGGATCATCTTTTCTAGATGATGCTTCATATATAAATATTTTTTGAATAATTTATTGGACCATCTGTCTTGACATCTTGCCTTTCCTGAGTAGGGAATTGACCTGTTACTGCCTATGTCAGCAGCTTGATGCTCATGCTTTAGTGCTTTAGCACATTAGGCATTGGATGTGTTCCCTTACTTTTAAAAGCTGGCTTAAAACAGAATTTAAAATACCATCCTAATTCCCTTTTCAAGCTTTACATGATTCCACAAGGTTTTAAGTCAGACATTGACTGAAATGTTTTTAAGCAGCTGTTTTTCTCAAGTATTAGCTAATGATAACACTCCCTTTCTAAAAACTTTGTATAAGTATTATAGCTATTGAATTTATAGTTTTACCTAATTACTTAAAAAATATTCCCAAGTATATTATTTAAAAACATTTAAAGTTGTCCTTCCAGGGACTGGGGAGATAACTCCATGGGTAAAGTGCTTGCTGAGTACCCATATAAAAAGCTAGACACTGCAGTGAACTGGTAACCCCAGTAGTGCTGCAGGGCAGAGACAGAAGGATCTTGGGGGTTCACTGGCCAGCTTGCCTAGCCAAAATGGCCAGCTTCAGGTTCAGGGAGAGACCTTGTCTCAAATAAATTACGTGGAAAAGTGATTGTGGAAGACACTTGACCTCTATCCTCCACATGCCTACACAGGCAAGCACACACCTACATACGTGCTAACACTTGTATCCATCACACATGTACCCAAAAATTTTTAATTAAAATGTAATAGAGCATCCTTACAGATAATTCTGTTCTTTCCAGTGTCTTCAGATGGAACTTTGTTGCTTAGAATAAAAATTCAATAATAAGAAATAATATTGTTGCCAGGCGTGGTGGTGCACCCCTAAAATCCTTGTACTCCATATGCTGAGGCAGGAGAATCTCTGAGTTTGAGGATACCTACGCTTTAATAGCAAGACCCTGCTCAAAATAATAATAATAATAATAAATAATGCTATTATCTTGTGTTGCTTCAGAATAAGGAAAAGTTAAGCCTACTTACTCGTAAGTAGTTCTCCTTATGAACTTTTGTCCTTAAACCAATAGCAGTTTATGCTTGTTACCAAACAAAAACTAATGTGCGTACATATATGTATAAGCATATATTCACAGAGAGACTTTTTTTTGTTAAGACTTTTAAAATGTAATTAAAATAATGTTTGCTTTACTTTCCTTTAAGATAGTTGCTGAGTGCAGTGTTTTGCCTGGGGCATAGTCATAGTATGTTCTGTTCACTTCCTCACACACTCAAATAAAAAGAATTAAGATGAGTGCTTAGAGGAACAGAAAGGCAATCTGTATTTCTGCCTTTTGTCATAGGGGTGAGTCTTAGCCCATCTTGGCTCTGCTCTCTCCTTATCTTCTTTCCCTACTCCTTCTCTTCTTGACTTTTCTCTTTCCCACCCCCAAGCCACCCCTTTAGTAATAGCAGGAAACAGACTAACTTGTTCTCCCTTCTGGTTGCCTCACAGGCATGTTACATACTTTCTCCACCATTGGCTTATTTTTCCCTGAAGTATGTTTTTTTGTTTTGTTTTGTTTTTGTCTTTTTGAAGCAGGGTCTCCCTGTAGCCCCAGCTGTCCTGGAACTCACTATGTAGACCAGGCTGGCCTTGAACTCACAGAGATCCACTTGCCTCTGCCTCCGAAGTACTGGGACTACAGGCGTGTGCCACCACACCCAGCGGTCTTTTTGTTTAAGATTGATTTGGAAATCCAGGCCTAGTGGTTATGCCTTTAATCTCAGCACTTCACAGGCAGAGGCAAGTGGATCTCTGAGATTGAGGCCAGCCTAGTATACATAGAGAGTTCCAAGTCCAGCTGGGACTACAGGGAGACCCTGTCTCCAAAAGACAAAAAATAAAATAAATTTCAAAAATAAAGATTGAAGCCAGGCGTGGTGGCACTCGCCTTTAATCCCAGCAGTTAGGAGGTAGAGGCAGCACTCAGGAAGCAGAGGCAGATCTCTATGAGTTCACAGGGAGACCATGTCTCAAAAAGACCAGAATAAACAAACAGACGAACAAATAAATAAATAATAAAGATTGATTTCAAGAGTTAAGTGTGGCAGCTTGGGGAGGCTGATGCAGAGGATTTCTGTAAAGAATGATTTCGTATGAATATTAGCTCAAAATTATGCCACATTATTTATGGTGTGGCTTTATACTAAGTAAAAGATAAAGTTATTGCAAGAGTTGAGTAAAAGCCATGTTGGGAGGGAAAAACGATTCCTAAGAGTTCTACTCTCTCTGACCCCCCCACATGGCTGAACTTAAGCAAACTGGGATGTACTGTCACAGGTTTTACCTGTTAAGATATAGGAAAACAATAGAGATTCATATAAAAATCTTAGAGCCAATTTTTCATTGATACTTGTTCTAGACAAGCTGACTGAATGTGTGTATGTGTTGTTTATACCAAATATTCCTTTCTGTATTGCCTCTTTTTGTGTCTCAGAAATGAAGAGAAAGCCAGGCATGGTAGCACAAACCTGTTATCCCACGATTTGGGAGATAAAAGCAGAAGGATCAGGAGTTTAGGGTTATCCTCAGCCGTACAGAGACCAGCCTGAGCCTGTCTCAAAAAATATATTAGGAAATAATGAGTTGAAATTCTGAAGGGAGTCTTTGGTTTTGTTTAGACAGAGTCTTTCTTTGTGACCTATGTTAGCTTCAAACTCATGATCTTCCTGTCTCTGAATGCCAAGTGCTGGAATAATAGGCATGTGCCATGGAAACCAGCTTTCTACTGCCCCCCCAGTTTTTGTTTTTAAGAAAACTAATGGACAGAAAAATAGCACTATGTTCTGCACATATATAGCTCCTATTACCTGCATGTTTATTTTAGCACCAATAGTTCTATTTAAGCATTAATAAATATTTGAAATTATCCAAACAGATCATTACAAACCTGCAATTTCCCATCGAGATTTAAACAGCAGAAATGTCCTGGTAAAAAATGATGGAACGTGTGTTATTAGTGACTTTGGTTTGTCCATGAGGTTAACTGGAAACAGATTGGTGCGCCCAGGGGAAGAAGATAATGCAGCTATAAGTGAGGTGAGTGTGTAAAAAGCACCACACTGGCAGAATTCGAAAATACAATGCTCACAACAGTTATCCTTACGTACTGCCAATTGCAGACTCTTAGGAGTTAGAAAATAATGAAATACCAAATACATCGCATAAAGATCATTGTAAAGGTCACCATTTCATTTTGACAGACATTAGGAAGAAGTCTGTAGGAACTGATTACTGTGTTGTTTTGTGGGTTTTGTTTATTTGTTATGAAAAGAAGTTTATTAGATTGGCTGTTTTCATTTTTCTTGTTTGTTTAGTTTTTTTTTGTAAGCTCAGGTTAGCCTTGAATATGCCATTCTCCTGTCTCAGCCCCTCAAGGGCTGAGATTCAGCCAAGTACTACCAGCCAGGAATTGATTTTTGAAACAAGAGTAAGGTTACCAGTTGAGACTGGTCAGTCTTCTCTTTAATTATAATGCCAAATATATCCTTCCAGGCCCCTTTCTCTGTTTTCACATACAAATGTCTATATATACATGGAGATTTGTTGTTTTAAAGAATATTAAATGGTGTACATATTCCTTTGTAATTTCTTACTGTGTCTAGAGTTTTTCTTTTACTTTATTGATTACATTGCAAAGGTGGACAGTGAATAAAGGACAGTCTGCAGCTTCATAGATTTTTTTTTAATTAGCATAACTCAGGAATATCTACTTCACTCTTTTTTAGACAAGGTATTCCTGTAACCCCAGCTGTTGTGCCCTAGAACTCATTGTGTAGACTATCACAGGCTGAACTCACTCAATCTCACAGAATCTACCTGCCTCTGCTTCCCAAGTGCTGGGATTAAAGGTATATGCCACCACACCCACAACTTCACTCTTTTTAATTAATGAATAGTATTTACTAAAACAGATTTACTACAGTTAAATTATTCAGGGAGGACATTTTAGAGATTAAAAAAAGTAAGATCTACAAAGGTCCAGTGACATGCTTAGGGTCAGATAGTATATCATTAGCATGACTAAAATTTACACAACTTTTGGTCTAGTGTCTGCCCTTCAGAATATGCTATGTTCTGTTTCTGACCAATACCACTCTGTTTATCAGGTCGGCACAATTAGATATATGGCACCAGAAGTGCTGGAAGGAGCTGTGAACCTGAGGGACTGTGAATCAGCTCTGAAACAAGTCGACATGTATGCACTTGGACTGATCTACTGGGAGATATTTATGAGATGCACGGATCTTTTCCCAGGTAGGAGCTGTTGTCAAAGGAGGTGATACCGCTGTATCTTCTTTCTCAGTTGCATTAAATAACTCAATAGTTTGAAATAATCTTTGCCTTTATAAACCTTTAAGTTTATTGCCACCTAGTGTTTGGAAACATTATTAGCAAAAAGACGTAAATCATGGAAATTTTTTGTTTAAAAACAACTCTAGGTTTTCATCTGAGTACATCTTCATTACCAGTAGTAGGGTATCTGTGTTTTGTTTAGTCTCTAATTGCTTTAACAGACATCATTTTCCTAACCTATGCTATGAAGACTTGAGACAAACTACATTTATGTTTCTTGAGTTGAGCTTATAAGGAATTAGAAGCAATAAATTATTTATGAATGTTTTCTTTTTTATTCTTTGCTTTTCCTCTCTCCTTTCCTTCCTCCCTCTTTCTTTCCTACCTAAGCCCCTTCTGACTTCCCTTTTTTCTTCTCTTCTGTCTTTTCACTGAAAGGATGCTTATTTAATATGATTGCTTGTTTGAGACTTATGTTGAAATGGTCAAATTTTTCTCTCTTGATAAGATTGTATTACCGTTAGTCTTATTTTTTTTAAAAAAGTCACTAATATATACATTGCATTTTAAATTTCATATTGTTTGTAAAAATAATAGGTTTTTACTATGGTTTTCAGTCATGTATATGGCACATTTAAATCATATTCACAAACATTCTTACCCTCTCTTGTCCACTCCCTATTCCTACTGTCCTTCTATCCTGATACACAGACATAGCCTTGCTGGCATTTGTTGTTGTTTTCTTGGTGGTAGCATTGTGACTGGGTAATGAAAGCTCAGTGTAATTTTGATTTGCATTCCATTATAGCTAAGGATTTTGAATATTTTTTTTCACGTATTTATTGACCATTTGTACTTTCCTTTTTGGGGGGTGTTTGTTTTGTTTATTTTTTTTTTCGTTCTTTATATATTCTTAATCCTTTCTCGGGTGCATAGTTGACAAAGATTTTCTCCCATTCAATAGTCTGTTTCCTCTGATAATTGTTTACTTTGTTGTCCAAACTCCAGTTCCAGGGGATCTGACACTATCTTTTAACCTCAAAGGGCATTGTATAACATGAATGCACTTACATACATTCAGGCTAAATGCTCATATGTATACAATAAAATAATTAATAAATAAATAAAAATAATAATCTGCTGGGTGTGGTGGTGCACATCTTTAATCCCAGCAGAGGCAGGCAGATCTCTGTGAGTTCAAGGCC